GTTGTAATGTGACAAAATATGGAAAAGTTCAAGGGGTATGAATACTTTTGCAAACCACTGTACATTCTGGTCCTGTCCAAAGTTACATGGATACTGGCAGGGCATCTTTGACAACTTTTCAGGACTATTTGGACGAACTGTTCATCCATCACCATTCATCTCTCTCTTTGGGGGTGGCTCCAGCAGAAGCTTCCCTCAGTGAACATCAGAGGACGGTGTTCGCTTTCTGCTCTCTACTGGCTAGAAGACTTATTCTTCTTCGATGGAAGGATCCACATCCTCCAGTATATGGTCATTGGTTAAGAGAAGTTATGTCTTACATTCATTTAGAGAAGATTAGATATACTGTTTCTTTGACATCTGGCAGCCATTTTTATCTTACRYAGAAAAAACTTCAGCAGATAACTTTGTCTAATGGTCAAATAATGGTTCTTTGTACCAGGTTTGGGCGATATTGGCAAAAAAATTAATCACGATTAATTGTGGTATTTAGCCGATAACGATTAATTTGGCGATTAATCCCCTGGAGTCCCTGCACACCTTTATATCCTGGTCACATGACCAATTTAGTGGGAAAGATTTGCTCTTCATAAAAATCTGTTCCAAATTGTCAAAATTACAGACTTCAGGCTATACATCAAATTTTAAATTGTGTTGATAGATAAATCAATTTCAGAATTTATTTTTTTTATGTTAGTCATATTTGAAGTGGAGAGGATCACCGACCAGACTGAACGTGGAAATTACCAGTCAATCTGCCTGGTGGCATTAATCGTATTAATCGTCATGTGCCAAAAAATAATCGATTAATGTTTTTCTGACGATTAATTGCACACGATACGATTATGCCCAACCCTACTTTGTACACAAACCTGTGTTTTGTATTTACAGATACATGAATATAAGATGTATTTATATTTATGTTTTGTTAGCAGATCCAGTAAAGGTGGGGAGGGATGGAAGGGTTTTTAGGGGTGTGTTTTTCTGTTAGTTTGTTTTTTGTTTGTGTTTTTCCTAAAAATAATAAAAAAAACTTTGAAGAAAAAGAAATTGAATCCCTTCACGATAACAGTATATATCACAGTAGAAAGTTATCTCTGTGGGTAACAATACATAAAAAACATTTTTCTTCTCTGACAACTTGGGTGTGAAAAAACTACGGTTGTTAAAGCTTCGCTCTGCGCCACAGGCGGTCTTTTGGGGGTGGGGAATGATCCTGACTTAACTTTTCTACAGCAGGAGGGGGAAATTTTGGGGATTTATTCTCTCTCTGTGTTTTAAAACACTATAATTTCTTCATTATATTTTGAACTCCTGCTCAGTTGTCTCTGCACTCGCAGCCCTACTGACACAGGCGCGATGACGTAACTGACAACAGGACGGTAGAGGGTAAATTTCTACCGTACGCCAACTTCATATCTACCGTCTACCGCATATACTGTGCAGCCCTAGCTGGAGGTGATAAAAGTATTAATAGATGGATAGTACGTGCTGTAAATGGTCATCATGCAGTCGTGTAAGTTTGTTTAAAGGAGATCAATTATGGGTCCTAGAAATTTTTGTTGTTTGTGGGCTATCCAGACCATGTTCATTCAATTTAATGCGCAAAATAATTCTCAGATAATAAAATTTCCCATTTTCTAGTTCTGCCTGCTCTGATTTCTGTTCAGAAGAACTGTTTATGTTAATGAGCTCTGTTGGTAACGCCCTCCAAAAATCTGTTGACATTAACTCCGCCCTCCAAAGCCAGCGTTTACGTTAGCATGGCTAATAATAGCAGAAGCTCCGTTGTACAACTGTACATATGAGACCCTGAGTGAGACCCAGAGGCAGAGTCGGTCGCAGCTTCTTTTTTTTCTCCCTCCTCTGCTCTGCGCTCACTCTGCATGCTGTTACCAGAGCAGGGAGCAGCAACRGTSAAAATACCTCAGAAACTYGAACAAATAGGCTTTAACAAGGCTTTAATAAGCTAAACAATAGAGGTACATGAGAAAACGTGTTCATAACTAACAAAAATAAATAATTAAATTGTGTCCATGCTGGTCTCAAACACTGGTCTCTCACTCTCTGGTCCAACACTCTACCCATTGCCTGTTGGAGGCTTGTTGAGAAATGAGCTGCGCATTGCACAACAACCGTGACGGCTCTTTATTACTGACGAGGAGGAGCTTCACCCGGGGGTTGCTAGATAAGGGGCAGAACACAGGTTCCGGTGGGTTGTTGTACGGCTTGTGATCACAAAATGACGGAAATATAAAACTTGTCGTTAATATACATTAAAAATACATTTACTTACAGTGAATATGCCCCTGGGTGCATTTTTTTGGTCATAGGACTGTTTTTTTAAGAAGTACATACCCAAAGTTGAGTAAAAAAACCTTTAAAATTGAATTTTGCATAATAGGTCCCCTTTAAATACAGCTTTTGTCCAAATTTGTTCAATTATTGGCAATTTGTCATTAGACTGTGCTTAACAGGAAAAAATATGGTTTTAAAGCATCGTTATTTACTCAAAACTAAACAGCACAAACTGATTGTACCAATGATTAACTGTCGGCCATGTTGGTGTTCAGGGTGAACAATTTGAACAAGATCTTCTCCGTTCACCAACATGTTTCTGAATCGACAACAAGACAGACGAAAAGTTAATATATTTAGTTTTTAGTTTAAAACTTGGATCAGGTGATCCTTTCAGCTTGAAAATATCCAAAGCAAATTGTTGATGAACTGCTGCCTCGGGCCTCGTTGGTGCTGACGGGCGAAGAACAGATTGTTGAGTGACAGAACTGCCTGACGACATGATCCGGTTTTCATTTGTATCTCTGTACTCTCGCTCTTCTCCTTCAGTTGCACAACGAGGAAGACTCCTCTGCCGGCGAGCAGCAGCCGTGCACCTCTGCCTCAGTACAAGCCAGTGCACCCGGGCAGGAGCAGAATCAAACTGAGTCCAGCTTGGCAGCCCCAGCTCTGTCAGCGTCGGCAGCAGAGGCGCCCCCTCCTCCTTACGCCTCCATAGACCTGGGTGCAGCCGCTGCCTCGCCTGGTACTATCACCTCTCTGAACTGCTTCAGACCGCTCTGACACGTGGTCGCTCCTTTAACGAGCCCTTCTTTTCTTCTGTCGTCAAAACAGAAGCTGGTTTCCAGGGTGACTTCCCGGTGCCGCCACCCTACAGCGTCGCCACCTCACTACCCACGTACGATGAAGCTGAGAAGGCCAAAGCAGCTGCCATGGCAGCCTCCGCAGTGGAGGTGCTGCCCCGAGTAAGTAGACCCACCCACACGTTTTCATCTCTCTGACTCGACGCATTTTATTCATCGTCTGTTTGTCCTCTGAAAGGTTTGAGCTGCAGTTTCAATTAGGTTTTTTTTCCCTCACTGACTTGACAAAGTGTGTACACTCCCTTCCTGAAAATGTATGACATCATTAGTTTGTTTATTTTTCTGTTTCTGTTTTAGGAACCTTCTTTTCACATTCCAAACCCCTCCCACAGTCGAGACTAAAGCTGGAAACACACTCACTCTGAACTGCCGACGTCGGCACAGGTTGTCGCAGTTTAATGACGAAAATTACGTCACCGGGCTTCGCAGCGTCGTGTTGACAGTCCCTTTTGGCACAACCCGCCAGCAGAACTTTTTGACCCCCCTCCCGTGTCGACGGTAATGTGTGATTGGTTCGTGGGCGTTTTTTGTGCTGAAACTGAAAGCGCTCGGACGGACACAGCAGAAGAAAAAAAACTTGCTTCTGACTAGAGCAGTCTGTTTTAAAGAGACAAACCGAGAAAAACTCATGCGTGTTTGTGCTGAAAGCACTATGTGCTGCATTTACTTCAACCACTCGGTAAAAGACAAAAAAAGGAAAAAAAAAAAAAAACGACTCGCTCCCCGAGCCGACCAGGAAGCAGAGTTTTGTACCATGAAAAACTCATGAATGGAGATAAAACAGACGTTGTGCACGGAGGAATCTGACTGGTAAAAACTGTGGAGCTTTAACCAGGACAGATGTGGGTGAGTGACTTTTTTTTTGCATTGCTGTTGCGGGGAGAAATTCCCTGCAGTGATGTATATTTCAGCGGGAGGGGGGGTTCCCCGAGCTCGGCGCGGGGTGTCATAGGGACTATGAAAGGTCTGTGCGAAAACGACTGCCGAACAACAGCCGACCCGTCGGCGTCGGAGCGAGTATGTTTCCAGCTTAAAACAGAGAGTCATGGCTAAAAAGCTATAATGTGACAGTAAAGTTATATTTTGTATTAATTTCTATGTTCTGCACAATATATGGGTTACAATGTTCAAATGTGATGTTTAGTGTATTAGCTCTGCAGCTACCACCATATTAGTAATTTTTATATGTTGTTAGCTGAGCTTTTATTACTCTATTAGCTTGTGAGCTAATGTGAAAAAATGAACGTTCAAGCTGGATAGAGCTCACATCTAAGAGCAATAAGTCATCATTTACCCAGAATGCTTTGCTGTGTAAAACATGATGTCTATGTGACATTTTTTATTTGATTTATAAAAACTAACAGCCTCCAGTAAATTTATAGTAATGTTTATAATTGAGGTGCTTATCAAATATCTAATGTTACAACTAGTCAGTTTCCTTAAACCTGAGCAGTTTGTCAGATGATGAKGGGTAATGGCCTTGAATTGGACTGATAAGTTTGTTTATTTTTAATATTATATTATATTTTATTTATTTATAGAAATAAAAAAAGACCTATTAAAAAGGTTTAAAAAAATCAAACCATTGACTAAAAATACAATTATTTGAAAAATAAGAGAATACAAAAGAAGATACTTAAAGAGAATCTGTTGTTCTTTCTACACTAAAATGAAAGATTACTGAAAAATTCAAGCTTCCTTTTCATGGCTTGAAATTTGTCCAGTTGTCATAAGAAGAATGTGCTAAAACCAAAGAACTATTTCACTATTGAAACATTACATCTTGGGCCAGATAAAGTGGTAACAAGAGCCAGATTTGGCCTGTGGGCCTTAACTTTGACACATGTGCCTTACATCATCAAACATAAAACAGATACAGTAATAAAAGACACAACAAAAATCAAGTCCAAATAATATAAATGTAATAAAAAATAAAGAACGTGGTTGTAATTCAACAAGCTCAGTTAAAAAGATGGGCTTTCAGTTTGGATTTGAAATGTTTTGGTTCGTGTTGAGATGAACTCAGATTTATGTTTCAGGATGACGACTTCTCACCCAGAGATGATTTCAGTGACGCCGATCAGCTCCGAGTCGGGAACGATGGGATCTTCATGTTGGCCTTCTTCAGTAAGTTGGTTTCTTTTGACAACACGTAGCCGGGGGCGGGGAAACACCCTAAATGTTCCTGATTATTGGATTTGTTCCTGTAGTGGCCTTCCTTTTCAACTGGATCGGGTTCTGTCTGTCGTTCTGTCTGACCAACACCATCGCAGGACGTTACGGAGCCATTTGTGGCTTCGGGCTGTCCCTCATTAAATGGATTCTCATAGTCAGAGTAAGTCTGGGGCTTCTCCTCCAAGATAAACCAGTTTCAGGTTTGTAGCCAGTGACCAATCCAAACACTGTCCTGTCTGTTCAGTTCTCAGACTACTTCACTGGTTACTTCAACGGACAGTACTGGCTCTGGTGGATCTTCCTGCTGCTTGGTGAGTGCTCAGGTATTCTGTCTTTTTAAGTTTCTCCCCACTTGTGTGGCTTCAAAAGCAACCAAACGTTTTGTCTCTTGCTCCAGGCCTCCTGCTGTTCTTCAGAGGGTTCGTGAACTACCTGAAAGTCCGCAACATGTCTGAGAACATGGCCACATCTCACAGAACGCGCCTCTTCTTCCTCTACTAACGGTACGTTTGGAGCGCAGCCGTTGGGCGTCGGACCGATGAGCTCTTTGTAACGCCTGAGTGTCTCCTCCCTTCAGGTTTCCTTCCTAAAGCTGAGTTCTTTCCCTCGCCCTCGTATGATCTGACTGAGGAGCCCGAACAGTGAAGAGAGGCAACAGGGAAGGAGACGAGCGAGGAAAGAAGCAGGGAGGAAGTGTTACCGTGTCATTAAAACCATAACTCGACTCTCCTCTGAAGAGTTTACTTCTCAACTGGGCTGACGAGTCCCTGGAACCTTTTTTTTTTTAAATCTCATTGTTCTGTTTTGTCCTCATCCAGTTTGTGTGTCGTGTCTGCCAGAAGCAGAAGTGCCATCCAGGTAAATGAAGCTACTCAAGAAAGCACTATAAGGATAYGGATTAAAAAAGCTGATTTAGCTTAGCTGAAGACATTGCTCGCCCAGTGTTAGAAAGGCAGCTGTGTTCTCAGTTTAAACCTCCAAGTAACAAAATCTAAAATGTTCAGAGACTCATTCGGTTTCAAGTTTTGTCTTAAAAACCCCGGACACTCCGGTTGTTTTTAAACCAAACAGCCCAGCTCCTGTCCTGTAATGTGACTTTATCACAATACCTAGAGTGGTTTCTTCCAGGTCTGCACTGGAAAACACAGGAGGGTTAGTGGAAAAGAACAAAAGGTTGTTTCTGTAACTGCGGGAATTAATGTAAATTAGTGCAAAATGATTGAATGCAGGAAAACTGGTGCAAATAAAATACAAAATGTAGTTTAAAGAAAATGTCAGATTTGACATTAAATTACCCCTTAAAAAGAAACAAACCAGACACAGACGTAAGTATTCAGTTTAAAACAGTTTTCTCTTTGCAAAGAGTGAGAAGTTTCTGAGGACGCTAAAAGACAGGTCTCAGCAGAAAGTTCTGACCTTGGCCGGGGAAAGTTGTACAATTTATTACAAACACAGCACAGAGAGAGACATGTTGACCAATCACAGGGTTACTTCTTATCAGTTAGTGCAGCTCAAAGCTGCACAGATGAAAATTATGGCAGCAAGAAAGACATATTTCATACAATTGATTAATGCAATAGGATCAAATATAAAAAAATGATAAAGTTTAAAAATATGTATAAAAAATTATGATTTAATTCTTCTAAAATGGAGCAACAAATCTGGCTCAGCTGGTATAGCCCGTCTCAGTCCGCCACATTAAAGGACTCCTGAATCAGTTACTGACCATGTAAACTGTTCAGTTTCAGGTTGAAAGCAAAAGTCCAAATCTTAAATGCCACTGGTTCCAGTTTTTATTCATGCCCCAGAATTAATTTATTCCTTGTCACATTTTTGAACCTTTAAAACCTGAAGCTTAAAGCAACATCAGGTGTYAAAGGTTCAGAATCCAGACAAGCCACCAACCCCAGCAGTTTAAAAGGATTTTTAAAATCAGTGTTCTGAGCCCGGCCCAGACGTGGGCRCCTTCAGCTCCGGTGCTTTGGATAAAGAAGTGTTGCAGACTTGTTGTTTTTTATTCAGTTTAGTTTAAATTTAAATGCTCCTCGGAGTGAAAGTCTTATGCAATCTGCTTAGTTGTAACGACTTGTTGATATAGTTTAGTTCACTCATCGCAGAACGGGATCCGGTTTTGGTTTTGTCGAGTTAAAGAGAACAAACGAACCGCGAGCAGCAGAAAAACGACTTGGCTTGTTAAACTAGAAACTGGAGGAAAAAATGAACGTGAAGTGAAGAGGTGACTTGTTCTCTCTGGGGTTCAGGGTTAAATATTTATCTCTCAAAGTGAGCAACCTTCTGGTTTCTGTGATTTATTATTTTTAAAAGAAGAACGACATTGTCGGTGTAAAAACGATGATCTGGATTGATGTGGATTCTCGCGTGACGTGAYGGCGATGAAGTCTGAGAAAATGTCCAATGAGAACAGAGCTGAGCGTGTTTCGTTAGACAGGTTTTGTTTTGTTGTTAAATGACATGTAAATACAAGCTTATGCCAATTTTTAATATTTGCACTTTGAAGTTGTGTACAGTAAGACTTGTGAATCTTAAACTTGATGGGGCAAGGTTAGAAGAATGAAGCCATTCAAGTTTTTTATTTTAAACTGGAATTCTTAATGATCCCAAATGGATAATCTTGCCTTTTGCACATTTGTTTTATCGCTTTTTAACCTAAACTGTGAGCACTCGAGTGTTTGCCAAACCTTTTTTTTTTTTGGTTTGTTTGTTTGTTTGACCGGTTGTTTCTCACTAAAAGCCTCCCTTCAGCAATATCAAAACTTTTCAGACAAACCTGTTGCATGTTTTTATTTCCCCTCCTCAGTAAACTGGTCAATCTGTCAAATTAATCTGCAAATACAATTTTGTCTTTGTAAATAATGATGATAATTAAATTATAATTAAAAAAAGGTTAATGCTCATTTGATGAAACTGGTATGCCTTCATTGTAACTGGAATTAAAATGATGGATCTTTGCAGAAAAAAAATTGCCAATAAAGTTCAAAAGTCTGTTACTGATATTTTATAGTTTTTTGTTTTTTTAATGGATCAGTTAGTTTATTAGCACCATGGTTAAGTCCACACTGGTCTAGTTAGGCTGCAGCCCCTGACACAGCTATATATTAGCTCTGGGGCGGATGCTGTCCCTGGAGTATGTCGTTGGACCACCTTTTGCTTTGACTACAGCACACATTCTCTGTGGCATCATCTCCTCAAGCTTCTGCAACCTCACATTTATTTTCTGTCCACATTTGGACTTACATTATGCCAAGAAATTGTGGTGTATCGAAGTCTCCTCCAGCACATCCCAACCCTTCTCAATGGGGCTTCTGATCTGAAATCTTGGATTGCCCTCTTGAATTATGTTTGTGTCATCAGGGAAGAAAAAAATCCATTTAAGGAAAAACTTGGTCCTTCAGTATATACAGGTGACCTTGTAATGTTGCTGCACTTGACCTTATTCCTCAGACAGCTCTTAATACTTTGACTCTTCTGAAACAACAGCATCTTTTCCATGACCACAGGATGTCTTTTAATATTTGCGTGTTTAAATCTAGGTGGTGACCTAATTTATTTCTTAGTTCATTTATTTATTTTATGAGATGAGCCGAGCCCTAATGCTCTGAATTCTGGACCCTCAACCATCTATCCATCTGGCTTCCTTCATGCTCTTGTACTCCAGATGATTAATGCTCTTGTGTCTGGGTAAATTTAATCGTTCCTCATGTAATTTATCTAAGTGTAAAATAGCTGCAGAAATCTGCCTGAGTAAGCTTATAATTACATATTAATGGGCTATGTTTCAGAGGAACACTTAAGTCCCCATTGTCTATAATTTCAGCGTTATATTCCTTGTTCTGGTGGCAACTTGAAAGATAATCATATCCACCACTAGGTGGCGCTAAAGATCCTGTTCATATAGTCAATTCATCCTCTGTACAAGTGTGTAAAACCCTTCACAAAGTGTATTTAAACTAACCGATGCACCAGACGCCACTCGTGCTGTTCCTATACTGATTTTTTATGTTTTTAGTTTCTGTAAAAGTTAGTCAATCCTTTGTTAAACTGTCCATTAACATCAGTTTAAAGTGACTTTACACACAGGACAAACAGTCCTCACAAGAAGTTAGCTGCGTGTTAACTGATTTTAGCAAAAATAAAAATAAATATTGCGAGGTATAAAAAGCACACATAATTAGGATACATTTGCCATCTGGTATGTATTTTACAATGTTGAATTTATTAAAACTGTTCCACAAATGATATTTAGAGCTTTTTTTCCTGGAGGTGAATTAGGATTGTTTTCATTGGCCACCAGGGGGCGCCATCTCCTCACGTAATCACATCTGGCGAGTACAGTCCTCCAATGCTGACTTTTGACCTGCATGAGGCTGTTATAAATTGTTTTATTATGAGTTTTGCATTTTGTGGAAAAAATAATCTGGCCACAGCCTTTAGAATAATGGGTTCAGGATCATAATACTGCTGAGCGTTTTAGTACTACAGAAAAGAAGAAACATACGKAAGTTATTTCAGTCCTTCGCAATAAGAGTCAAACACACGCTGACTGGTAACTTCAAAATTGTTTTTAAACACATGAAGCTCATAGAAAATAACTTGTATTGTTATTCTTTTGTAAAAACGAAGCATGGGCCATAAAAACATCTGTAGTTCAGGTGCAGTGGGAATAGCTTATTTTGTAGTCCAAACATAAACAGACACAAAACAGGAAAAACAAAAGTTGGGTTCAGGAGCGCAGAGCTCATTTCTGCTGGCTTAAAACAAATGCATTTTTTTTTGTCAACAAAATCCAATGGTAATCTTTACTAATATTTACACTGCGGTTACAAAATAATATATATAATTTTTTTAAACTCCACCTGAGCACCCCGATTATAATGTCCAACCAATAATTTGAATGATTGCATGAAGGGGTTAGCAGACTTGGCCCAAATTTCATATATTTTCATGAAAGTCACATTTGTTTAAAGTGTGCTGAAGCTGTACTGCAGAGATGTTGGGATGTCCTGGAGCAGTGAATGCTTCTGAAACGTCCAGGTGAGTTTCTCTTAGTTTGCTGAAACAGTCTCTGTCCCATGTACAGAGAAACACCCCCAAATCATGATGCTTCCACCACCACGCTTCACAGTAGGGATGGTGTTTTTRGGATAGTACYCATCATTCTTTGTCCTCCAAACACRGCGAGTGGAATTAAGTCCAAATAGTTGACCACATAACTTTCTCCCATGACTCATCCAAATGGTCATAGGCAAACTTAAGACGGGCCTGGAYGTGCTGATTTAAGCAGGGGAACCTTCTGTGCCATGCAAGATTTCAAACCATGACGTCATGACCCACAGTAACCTTGGAAGCAGTGGTGCCAGCTGTCTTCAGGCCATTGACCAGCTCCTCYSATGTAGTTCTGGGCTGATTMTTCACCTTTCTTAGRATCATTGATAYGCCATGAGGTGAGGGCATGCATTTAGCCCCAGTCTGAGGGAGACTGACAGTGATGTTTAGCTTCTTTCATTTTCTAATAATTGCTCAAATAGTTGATCTTTTTTCACCAAGTTGCTCGGCAATTGCCTCATAGCCCTTTCCAGTCTTGTGGAGGTCTACAATTTTGTCTCTGGTGTCTTTGGACAGCTCTTTGGTCTTAGTAGTTGGAGTTTTACTGATTGTGTGGGGTGGACAGGTGTCTTTATGCAGCTAATGACCTCAAACAGATGTTTGTAATTTAGAATAATAAGTGGAGTGGAGGTGGACTTTTTAGAGGCGGATTAACAGGTCTCTGAGGGTCAGAATTTCT